CTCCAGGGACTGAAACTTAAAGCCAGACACCAAAGACTGGAAGGCCCGGGTAAGCTGGCACCTTTGCAGACTTTAAGCTGAGGGCTCTGTTTTAATAAGCCACAAAAAATGAGCCCTGGGCCTGTCCAGCCCTCCCAACCACCCAATGAGAGCATGAGATGTTGAGAATGGTTTGGGGAGTAGCTGCTGCCCTTCCTCTGCCCTGATGCGGTGTGGTGCAACATCAAATGGGATATAGGTCTCTGCAGGATGCAGGAGCATTGGCTTAGGCTGAAGGCAGCTCTCCAGTACACAATACACCTGCTCCATTGGGGTCCTCCAAGTCCAGGTCTGAAGGCCCTAAAATAACCCATCAAAGCTGAAGGTTGTTTCCAAGAGCTGCAGGACACTTCCATCACCACCTGGCTTAACTGGCTCAAGACAGGTTGCACAGTCAAAGGGGGTTTGCAGTTCCTTGTCCTTTGAGCTGGACCCTTGGGGTGGAGGAGGCACCATCAAAGTGCAAGCAGTGGAGGTGGAGGCACGCAACCAGCGTGTGTCTCAAATACAGGTTGTGGGTACAGGTTGTGTATGGTTGCGCTGTTCCAGCCTGTGACTGTGTTTTGGCCACTGAAGCTGACGAGATACCGGTGTTGATATCTCCCCAGAACAGCTCCCCCATATCCTGTGTGCTTGGGAGAGGTGCAGCCCTCCTGGCTGGCAGCCCTGTGAGGGTTGGAACGAATGCTGCTGCTTTCCATCTCCATCGCAATGTATTTTTACCCAAACATTGCTCATATTGTTCAGTTGATGACTTTGTGTTGTTGTTGTTGTAATTTTTAAGCCAAGCAACATATTTTCCCACTGCAGTTTGTGCCAGCAGAAAGGAAGGAAGAAAGGAAGGCTATTGGTTTGAATTGTTTTGTGGGAGACATGCAAACGAATAGAGGAGCCATAAGGAGAGCAAAGCGCTTTCAAAATAGCATATGGGGGTGGACAGGAGGGAGGTGTACGTCAGGAACATGCCGTGTGCTTCACAAAGGTACAGTGACCTTCAGCTGCATCCTTAAATCGCTGCCGGAGATGGAGGCTCATTTTGAGGAGGCCGAAGATCCGCGTGATGCCTCTGCTTCAGCTTCTTCCTGGGGTGGTTGTGCTACCGAAGGCTCTCGCTATAGGATGGGGTGAGTTTGAGATCATAGCGTTGTGCCAAGTGTCGGGGTGGATCTCACCACCTCTGCCAGGCTGGAGAAGCTCAATGTGGTGATGAAGGTGTGAGCTCAATAACCCTGATGGATTTATCTCCTGGAAACCGGGAATGGGGGAGAAGGCGGATTGGCAAGCTTTGCTCAAGGAGAGGATGGTCCTATCACCTCCAGAACTGTGTCGTGTTGGGGTGGTTGTTGCGAGGAGCTGGTGCCCAGGCACTGATGATGTGAGAGCAGTGTGTGGAGAGAACAGCGGAGCTGGGAGCTGCTGGCTGAGCCCATGCTTGGCACAAACAGCCCAAGTGGGTGTTGCAGGACAGAGCTGAGGTATGTAGAATAAATTCATTCAGTTGGAAGAGACCTGCAACAACCATCTAGTCCAAATGTCTGACCATTTAAGGGCTGACCAATAGTTAGATTAAGGGCAGCATAAGAAGAATGTGGAGCTGTTGGAGTGAGTCCAGAGGAAGCCACAAGGATGCTGCAAGGGCTGGAGCAGCTCTGCTCTGGAGCCAGACTGAGAGAGCTGGGCTGGGTGAGCCTGGAGAAGAGAAGGCTCCTGAAGGGGAGACCTTAGAGCAGCTCCAGTGCCTAAAGGGGCTGCAGGAAAGCTGGAGAGGGGCTTGGGACAAGGGCCTGTAGGGACAGGCCAAGGGGAATGGCTTGAACCTGCCCGAGGGGAGACTGAGATGAGCTCTTAGGCAGAAGCTCTTCCCTGTGAGGGTGCTGAGGCGCTGGCACAGGGTGCCCAGAGAAGCTGTGGCTGCCCCATCCCTGGCAGTGCTCAAGGCCAGGTTGGACACAGGGGCTTGGAGCAAGCTGCTCCAGTGGAAGGGGTCCCTGCCCGTGGCAGGCGTTGGAACTGGATGAGCCTTAAAGTCCCTTCCAGCACAAACCAGGCTGGGATTCTGTGATTGCCTCTCCCATAGTAGTGATTTTTCTGGACAAGAGAATGGAGACCTGAATGCTGGGCATGTGTGCTCTGTGTGTGCGTGAGCTCGTATTTGCCACGTGGCTGTGTGCTGCCCATGGAGGCTTTGGTCTGGGTGTGTGGTGAGTTCCTATCCCTGGCTGTCCAGGCTCAGCCTGTGGGGAAGCTCAGGTAGCAGTGTGTGGTGCGCTGTGTCTTATGCATATGAACAGACATCCCCATAGTCAGGAGGGTCCCACCAACCATGTCTTACCACGTTATGCTGCACTGCTTTCTTCTCCCTCCCTTTCTTCACTGTTGGCAGCAAATGAAGGGTCCTCCCTTCATCCTTGACCCCTGATGCTCATTCAGTTCGAGCCCAGCTACTTTCATTTGTCACCGAGGTTTTTTTCCATGCTGGCCATGTTCATCTCCCCTTGCTGACACCGTGTCGACAAGGACGTTTTCTTTTCTCTTTTTTCCTTCTTGTCATTGTTTCCTTTTCTTTTCTTCTTTTTGTTTTTTTTCTTTCGTTGCTCCAAACCCCAACGTTCAGGGGCACAGGGAAGGCATCACCGTGCTGGTGCATGAGCTGTGCAAAGCACTGAGATGCATCTTTTTGCTCCCATTCCTTTAGTAAGTATCTGAGTATCATCACAAACAGCCAGCAGCCACAGGGACCCTCTCCTCACATAGGTTATGCTCCCCGCCTGCTTTTACTGTTTTCTCCACCTAGAAGCACGTGAGCAGATGCCTCTGGATGGCTGTGTGAGGATGTGGTGGCCAGATGGGGTACGATCACCGTGGTGCTGATTACTCCCATCAGCCGAGCAAGGATCATGAGAGAGCCGTGATCTCACCACATTTCATTGCTTGCTGAAGGCATGGCCCCCTCCTCCTCCTCTTCCCTCTCCCTTGCTCTCCTTCTTGCCTCCTTTCGGTAACTAAGCCTCAGTCGCACGGTTCCCGAGCTCCCCGCTCCACTTGCACACGTTATATATTGCACAGCCCCGAGGTTCAAATCACTTGCCATCTGTTCCCAGGGAGGCCCTGCTCTGCTTGCTCCCAGATGATGAAGGAGCTGCAAGGACAGGCTTTCCCCCACAAACACAGTGATGGGGTGCTGAGATGTGCTGCATCCTTCCCCAGTGCCTCAGCGGAGGGGTTGTGCTGTCAAGGTGGGAGTAGATGATGCTCTTCAGAGGCCTTTCCCTGCTCTTGAAATACTCCCCTTTGTGCTGCTTGCTGGAGCATCGACACTGCAGGATCCAGCTGTGCCTGCTATAAATGTAAGGGGGCTTTGGGGAGCTCTGCCTTTGATCTGGGTAAGCCTGGTGTTGAATAATTGGAAGATGGAGCAGAGCTGGTCCCTGAGGCCCCCCTCTCTCTGGAGCTCCCCCAAAATGGTTCCCACCATCAGTGCTTATGCAGGCAGTGGGTTTGATCCTCATCTCTCCATCGCCGGTGCTGGATGGATGGATCCTCTCCTGAGCCTTCCTGATGCGCCTGCACCAATATGCTTTTCTCTGCTGCTCCCATTCACAATGGCCTTTTGGTACCTTCTCTGCAGCCTGTGGGGTAGAAGAGGACCCTGGGTGGTCTAAAGGCACTCAACCCTTCAGAGGCTGAGGGCATTGCCTTAGGGATTTGGGAAGAAGGAAGGGGGAGCTGTGCCATGTACTGCCTGCAGCATGGGATGGCTGCTGGAGGAGCCTGCTGCAGCCTCAGCATTTAAGTTCAGTCCTTGTCTAGGATTACAAATGCCTTGTCCTGCATGGCCAGCTTCTTGTTTCACACCAAAATGTCCCCTGCACCATGCTGTGAAGGGAATTAGAGTCCATGGTCCGGAGCAGTTACGCACCCTGAGCTCACCGGGTGCCTGAATAGCCCCATACAGATCTGATGGGTCTCTGGAACTGAGGGATGCAGTGCGGTGATGCTCAGCCTGTAACTCCTGCCAGGCTGGGAGCTCCAAAGTGCTCACTTACCCGGGCGGGATGGGTGGCTGTAGGGCTGGTGATCCCTGCCATGGGGATGCTGTGTGCAGGAGGAGCTTGGAGGGACTCCCTGACTCTGGATATGTCTCAGGTTGTGTTCTGCTAATGAGTGTATTCAATGAGCTGACAGAGGCCAAGCCATTTGTCAAACCTGGGAGACCTCTGTGGCCTGCAGGAGGACAAACCTTTGATCCCGAATTTCGCCTTTGCTCTTTGTGAGTGGTTTCATGGTTTCCTGTAACTGCCCATCCTGGTGAGTTTCATAGGACAATCCTGGAAAGGGGGTTTTAGCCTTACTGGATAGGGGATATGTGAGAGCAAGGAGGGGAGTTATTTAAACATCAGCAAGCTGTGATGTGCCCTGGGGTGTTGCAGCAAGATGTTTCCTGTGCTGCACCTGGAAGGCCCCCAGGATTCCTGCTGCAGCTCTCAGAGCATGCCTGGACCGTTGTGCATCCTTCACTTGGCTCCCACCCCGCTCTTGCCCATTGCTCCATGATCCCAGATTTTCTGCCAGGGAATACCTGACCTGCCAAAAGCTGCCAAGCCTGGGGTGCAACTCCCAGCTGTGGGGCACAGTTAGACCCAACCTGAAACCAGCTCAGTGCCCAGAGGTTCCTGTATGGTTAAGGGATAAGGATAAAGGCACGATGCTCCAAGTTCCCTGGGTGCACATGGGGGAAGATGCAAGGAATAATGAATGCTGGCAAACAGACACGCTATTACTGTAAACTCACAGTTGTCTGAGTTCTGTGCCTTTGGTAACACTTGGAAAGCACTGGATGGCTCCTTGTGGGTGATTTGGGGGCTCTTGGAAGAGCTCCTGCCCCAGGGCTTGGCTCTGGGGCTATATGGGCAGTGGGGACATGGTCCTCTCCTAACCACATCCCTTTGGTGGTGTTGCAGCTCCCGAGGTGACACAGGAGACGGTGGAGTCCCTGATGCAGAAGTTCAAGGAGAGCTTCCGCACCAACACACCCATTGAGATCGGGCAGCTCCAGCCCGCGCTGCGCAGCACGTCCGTGGGGAGACGGAAACGCCGGAGCCGGCCACGAGGTAGGCAGATGGGATCTCCATGCTCTCCATGACCTGGGTTTGGCCACGTCCAAAGGAGGAAGGCAGGAGCTCCTCACCCTCACTGCAGAGCATGGGGGATGCTGGAGCTCCTCAGTGATGGGGTGAAGAGGGGCAAACCCCATGCAGCATCCTCTGGGGGATCTGGTGGAGGTCCTTGGCAACGAGCTCACCTCGTGTGTCTTCACAGGATTTATCCAGGGTTCCTGTCAGCTGCCCCAGCTAAGTGAGGTTTGGTGGGAGTCATATATGGTTTCTTGGCAAGCTTCTGTTTTGGAGGAAAGGGGTGAAATTCGTTTTGGCCTTAACTCGCATCACTGGGACACCTCATCTTTCCACTTTTTCCCAGTATTTAGGGATGTTTGGCCTTTATTTTAGGGGTCCCAAAGGAAGCAGCATCCATGGTTCTGAAGGCTGTACCATGCAAAAGCATACAGCTATATGTAGCTGTTTTATAACTGTATATAACTATATATATACTATATAGTATATATAACTATATATATATACACACTATAACTTCTATATGTAGCATTACCAGCTACACCAAAACAACAGGAGGATGCTGGCTAAAACAGCCTTGAGAACAAGATTTGCTCCTTGCGTTGCCTTACAGCATGTAAACTGCCTCCTCCTATTGCTATCCCTGCTTAGAAAGGTGATGGCTGTGGGTTAGGTGGTGAGTGCTGAGGCTGTGCAGGGGTTTTGGGTCCACATCTCCAGCTGGGGAGGAGGCACTGGGGTCCCTCCAGTGGATGATGGGCAGGAGGGTCCCTTGATCATCACACTGCGGGTCTTTGTGGCAGCACTGGGAGCTGGGGAGAAAAACGCTCCTTCTATTTACTGTTGGCTTTGGTTTTCATTTATTTATGAGTCTGAAACGTGATCTTTTCTTCTGGATACATTTTCCTCCAATACAGGCCTGGAAAGGGCTTTTTTTTTTTTTTTTATCATAGCTCTGCCTATAAATTATTCACTTTGCATGAAGAAAATGCTCTGAGTCTTTAACTGGTTTAAATGATTTGGTTTGTTTTCTGGTAGTATTCAAACACACAGAGCTGAGGTTCGCTGTGCCTGTGTGGGGGGTGCTGTGCGGGGAGGTTTCCTTGATTCCCTGCTCCAGGCTCATTCTGTCGTTGTTGGTTTTGTTTCCCTTTTGAACTTGGTCACTAATGAAGCAAATCAGTTCAGCCTTGGAGCCAGGTTTAGGAGGAGACACGATGCCCAGCTGCATGGGAGCACAGTGTGGCTCTGAGGCAGCCTGGCTCATCCCATATCTGAGGACATGCGCCCTCCATCTCCCACCTCCGTGGCTGGTGCTTCCTTGCCTCCCTGCAAATCCCCATCCACACCATGCCAGAGCATGCCATAGGGCAGGGTCTTCCCAACCTTTGCTCCATCACTGCTGCCCTGCGGATCCCTCTGCCCATTAGTGACCACAGGAATCAGTGCATACCAGGACATGAGAGCCCTTGGGGACAAGATGCAGGTGAAGGGAGGTGATGGGGAGGAGCTGGGTGCTGGTACCTTGAGCTGCTTCTGTCCTGAGCTGGGTGCAATGGTCTCAAAGGTGCTGCATGGTAGTTGGGAGTGTCTCAGTGCACCCTGTGCTGCAGAGCTCCGCTCTGGTATACGTGAATAGGATGGGTGCAAGGAAGGGCTTGGGTTAGCTGGGAAGATGCTGTCGTGGTTGGTCCTTATCTGCACCAGGAGCAGGATGGGTCTCCGTGGTGTTGGTGTCCAACCTTCTGTAGTTTCTATGGGGCTCTGCTCCTCCTGCAGCTCCTCCATGGATGGTTGCATGTGCCATAAGAGATGCTGGGGAGCTGTGTCTGCCCTTCCTTGCCCAAGGCATAACGTACCCCATGGACTTCAGGAGGGAAGCGTGTCCACTTATGGGAGCCTTCACTAGCACGCTCTAGAAGGTTGTATGGTTTCAATGATCAGAAATCAGCGAGCAGCCCCCAAACCAGGCCAGTTCCAGGGTCTCCAGCACAGATCTCGCTCTCCACAGCCCCATCCCATACTCTTTGCTTTAGATTTCTTTTTGAGGCTATATCCACTCCTTTCTCCTCTCCCATGCTGGACGTTTTGCCTTCAGAGCCCGGGTTAACTGTCCCTCTGGAGGCCGAGCTTTGGAGTGCTATGGGACATTAAGGTTAAACAATGATATTACCACTCCCGATGTTTGCATTTTACATCCCTTTGCAAACACAAACCCTTCGCCTCATTAATCCTTTGCAATCCATGGTGGGTTTTTTTTTCCTCCCCCTAAAGGAAATTGTCCATTTGGGATGCATTTATTTCCTCCTAAGAGCTGCCTGACAGTTCTGCTGATGGAGTTTGCATCCAACTTTGTTACTGGGTAGTGACAGGGCGGCCTGATGGATGCATGTGTGTAATTATTTTCTCTTGGTTTGATTTAATTAATGTTTAACCTCATCAGAGCCCTGCAGCTGGAGCGCTCTCCCTGAAGGAACTGTGCATTCCATAAAGGACTCACTCCTTTATGGAAAGGCTCCAAAAGGGGTTTGGGATAAACCAAACCAGGAACCAACCCAACTGGCTGCCCCAGCCCAACACAAACAAATCTGGGATAAGCATTGCCTTGCTTCGCTTCCCTGCACTAAGTGTGTTTAAACTGCTGCCTATTGCTTGTCATTAAATGTGATTCTGTGCTAAGTGGTTCTAACAGCTCTGGAAAAGGTGGTATTTTGCTGAGAAGATCGACTTTAAAAACATAAAAATACAAACCACCCTCTCCATTTATAATACCATTTAACTTTATTTTTCCTAATGCCTTTTTCATACAAACTTGTTCCCCAAACATTCTCACCAGTGAAGTGCATTTAGAGCTTATAAATAATAGAGGGAGAGTAAGGATTGTAAGAGCTGAGGTGCAGGAGGGATGGGCTGGATCTCTGTTGAGGGATGGCAGGGCAGGAGGGAAGCATGCTGCATCCGAGAAAGTCTGGATTTACTGGTTCCCAAAATGCAGCCAGGCTCATACCTGAAGCATCCCAACCCGGCTGCATTGGAGCAGGGCTTACACTGGGAAGTGACTGTGGGGCAGGGAGTGGTGCGGGGATGGAGGATGCGGGTATGGCTGGACCACCCTGCGTATCCATCCCAAGAGCTGGTGGGATGTCGGGGTGCAGTGCTGGGAGGTGGACCTGGGGGAGGCCGGTTTGCAGAGAGAGGGTCTGGTGCCCTCTCCTGGGGTAGGCCTTTAAAAGCACCCTGGCTTTAAGAAGAAATAAGCCATTGGTAGTTCCTGCTGCCGGAGGCGGGATGCACTGTTCATCAGAGCTGCGGCTTCTTGTGGTTTAGAGGTCGTGGCTGTGCCATAAGTCACCCAAAGCCCCTCTAGGGAGGAGAACCATGGCTTGGCTTGTCTCACCCCTGGCCCATGCTTGAGCCAGGACAACTCTACCTCCCGCCTCACCCATCCCTCTGTCCTGGTGCCTGTGGAACATCGTGTTTTGCTGATGAGGTTTATTTAGGGTTCAGCCAGGAGCTTTCACCTCACCAGAGTCGAAGCATCATGGCCAGCTCCTTGGTGAGCATAAATCCCTTCACAGCTGTGCAAAGCCTGCCCTTGGGGATCACTGTGATCCCAGTTTTCCATAGTGGAAGCCGTGGGACCACCACCTGATTGTTGCATCACCCACCCTGGTGCAGTTCTATGGGCAGAGGCAGAAGGAAAAGGGAAGGTCAATGTGGAGAAAGTCCTCAGGAGCTGAAGCTGGTACATGTGCATGCACACCCTGCTGCTGTGACAAACCAGAGCAGAGCATTTCATTTTAAAGGGCTTGTTTTCTTCATCTTCTCCTTTTAACTAATTGTATAGTTCTGCACCTAGGTGGGGAGAGGACCCCTGGTCTGGTCTTTACTGGGAAGCCTGGGAGCAGAGGGTCTTGCTGAACACAACAGAGATTGCATAGCATGGGGCAAGTGAGTGTGGAGCTGAACACAGTCAAGGAGGAGGTCGGGAGTCTTTAATGCTGTGTGTGCACAGGATTTGGCCTTTTCCTAGGGGGAAGGGGTGCAGAAAGTCCTTTTCCATTGCAAATGAGGCTGTGGTGGCAGGGCAGAAGCGTGCATGGACGGATGTGTCACCACTGAGGACAAATACAAGCTTCCACTTCTCTTTTAAGAGCCAGCTCGGAGGGATTAAGCATCTGAGGTCAACCTGGCTTCAGACAGGAGTTATCCAAATAGCTGCTGTTACTTCTTTCTTTATTTTACCTCGGGTTTGATTTGTTTTGCATCCACGGTTGTTTCCCTGTTAACCTCCCGGCTTTGGGGAAGGGATTTAAAATGTCAGGTTTGCTTTTTCTTTCTAATGACAAAAATGCACCTTTAAAAGAAAAGGAAGCTTTAGCTAACAACAAGTCTTTGGGGACGGCAGAGCCTCCAGTGCCTGAGTTTTATGCCCTTAGCCCCCATTTGGCATTAACTCTACCATCTTTAATTACACCATGACGAGAGGTGTTTGCCTTGGCACCCCGCCTTGCTCCTCACCAAATTAATGCGTGCTCAGAAGGAGCATCCTGCCCCGGCACTGAGCTGCGAGCTACTTGAGCGGATTAACGAGCTTGTAAATCTGCAAACAGGATTAGAAATGAGAGCATCTTCCTTGAGCTCCCCCTCCTCACCCACAGCCGGTCCCTAAGGTGGTGGGGCAGGAGGTGGGGATGTGAGCAAGGAGGAGGAGATTTGGTTTTCCTCAAATCTAAATAGCAGGAGTAAACTGGGTGTAAAGGGGATGTAACTCCTTGGGGGAGCCACTGCAGAGAGTTGCTGGTGTGTTATGGATACCCATCCCTGCAAAGCTGCTGTTTCTGTGGCCTGTCTCTTTCAAGCATCTCTTTGCAATCAGTCAAGGTGATTAGGATCTGTTTTCTATTACTTGGTGGTTTTCTCACTCTTTTTAAAGAAAAAAGGATTGCTGACAGGGCAGGGCTGCTTGGCTTTAATGGGATGCTCTTCCTGTTCATCCCCATTGGCAGCTGCATGTGGGTGCTCTCTGCTGCGAGCTTCCTCATCCCCATTGTGAGCATCCTCAGCTCTATTGTGAGCATCCTTGGCCCCACGTCCCAGGGAGCAGCCTGCCACCAAGGCCAACCATTGGAGCTGCTGCAGGAGGTATTGCCCCAAGCCTGAGCATCTCATAGATGTTTCAGCTACATTTTGGAGACAAGCACAAAGTCAGGTTCTTGTCAGGATCAGTGCTCCTGCATCCTATAGGCTGCCTCAACTGAGCTCTGGGCCCCCCAGAACTACCACCAAGACGCGTTCTAGCATCCTTGATAGCACAAAGGGGTAAAAGCACATCCCCTTGCAGCCTCTTCTCTGCCCTGGGCTCATGTTTCCAGGCTGACCTCTGCCACTGCGTGTTGGGTCAGGAGAGATGTTTCCGCTGTGGGCTGGGGACCTGTACCGGGTCTCCCGACTCTCCTGTATTTATACATCCTGCGCAGTGCTGGGTAATCAGAAAATGCAATATTGCTGTCACAAGCTCTCTGAAGACATCCAGCCTGAGTAATTTAACATGTCAGCTCCATCCATCACTGAGACGCAGCCGGCACACAAACGTGGAGGGGCCGGAGGGGCCTGCTGCCTGCACTGACTGGTTGGTCACCTCGGTGGGCTGCGAGAGCAGAACAAGAACCTGAGGTCACTGCTTCTGTCCACCCCCAGCCATCCACCTGCACTAAAGGGACCAGGTCTGGCTTCTGGGTAGGTGGCAGAGGGATGTACTGTGTCCTGCATGCATAGGCAATGCCCACATCCTTCTCCTGGGCCAAGCTCCAGGAGGAAAACCCTTCCATAGTTGGTGTCTGTCTCCCAGCCCTGGGCACTGCCAGAAGCAGAAGAGCCCAGGCTCGGGGCGGGGGAGAAGGGGAGGTGCAGCAGAGCTGCAGCCCTGGCTGGTTGCCCAAGGGCCTGCATTAGAAGCCCAGGTTAATTAAGATTTTCCTCGCTGATGTGAATAAGCCTGATTGGTTTTACCATTCTGCTGTGTCCTTCAAAACCCCAGTCCCTGGGTGCGGGCGTACCATGGCATTGGATGCTTGCCACGAAGGGGGTCTGAAGAGGGGCTGATGGTGGGTTATTATTTGAGGTGTGAGTCTGTGAACCCCCCAGATCCGTGTTCAAGCTGCTGTGTGCAAGCACCGATTCCTCCTGCTGCTTTCAGACGGGAAGGAGCTGCTGGAGCCTCTTCCCACCCTCCTGGTTATGACCCACTTTGAGGTCCCTGCACAGCCAGGTCAGGGCATGGATGGGGCAGGAGCCACGTGCCGAGCTCCCGGTGTCCCTCTGGCTCCTGCCAGCCACCTCTCATTGCGGTGATTAAGGATTTGAGAGGGCAGAAGGCGCTGCTCGTTTTCTGTTCTCCTGCCAAGAAGTGGGGAAATTGCGCTTCTGCCTAGAATAAAGGATTTTTTAAAACCAGTAAAATATTTTAATGGCAGTTTAAAGGACCACTGTCAACCCCCAGAGGCCTCTTTCCTTTAAACTCTGCAAGGATTGAAGGACTTCTGCCAGTTAGAGTCTGTATCGCCTTTTAAGTGTCTTTAGCACTCCTTGGTGGGTCCTGTAGCTGAAGCGAGCCAGGGTTCTCCAGCAGCCCACGTTGTTTCCAGCTCCAGGAGGGAGATGCCAACTGAACCATGGCACAACCCTGCTTCTTGTTATGGCAGGGATGCATCTGCTGGCCATCAGGGCAAGCTGATAGAGCTGATGGGCTAATGTGAGTGCTAGGGGTGGGAAGGGACCCTCGCCATGCAGAGAGGATCTGAATGCTGTATTCCCCCTGTACCACTTGTCTCTGCTGGGTTTGCTTTGAAGCAAACACCTAAAATTCACAGTTCTTCACCATGTGGGTATCCTTGGAGAGAGCAGCTTCTGCATTCAGAGGTTTTCTTTGTCAATGCATGGCTGGGGTAGACATCATCATCTTATTTTCACATCACAAATGGCACCATGGGGTCTTGGTCCTTGATAAGGAAGCAGTGAAATCACAAGTGGCAAAAGCCCCTGGTCACTTCTGGTGATCCCAAGCAGAGCTCCTGGGCTGTGAGAGCTGGATACTGGACAAATCCATCAGTTCTGTCGACACGCTCCCAGCTCTTTCCTGCTGCTGTGCATCCCAGCTGACAGAGCTGATTCTTTGCTCTCTCTTGCTTGCAGGTGGGATTGGGTTTGGACGTGCCAAAGGAAACTCTGGCTCAGAGGCGGATGATGAAACCCAGCTAACCTTCTACACCGAGCAGTACCGGAGCCGGAGGCGAAGCAAAGGTACAGAATAACATAGGCACTGGTGAGATATGTTGGTGTGTAAGAGGACAAAAGTGGTTGTGCAGTGGTGATGCTGTCTGATACTGTGTGAACTAGCCTGGAGAAGGTTCGGGGGTGACCTGATGGCTCCCTACAAGTGCCTGACAGGAGGATGGAGCCAGGAGGGGCTGGGCTCTGCTCCCAAGGAACAAGGGATGGGACAAGAGGAACCGGCCTCAAGCTGCACCAGGGCAGGTTTAGATGGAGCTGAGGAACAATTCCTGCCCCAGAGGGTGCTCAGGCATTGGAACAGGCTGCCCAGGGCAGGGCTGCAGGCACCGTCCCTGCAAGTGTTCACACAGCGTGGAGACGAGGCCTCAGTGCCATGGGTTAGTGGTGGCCTTGGCAGGGATGGGAATGGTTGAACTGGATGAGCTTAAAGGGCTTTTCCAACGTGGTTGATTTCATGATTCTATTATTCAGTGCTTCTGTGAATCTAGGTAAGTACCACAATACCAGTCTGTAGAGGTAAGGACATCATGTGTTCTTCGTGTGATGCAGCACCATACATGAGCCATAAACAGCATTTCCTGGTGATGTTGCTGAGGTTCTGGGTTTCTTTGATTGTTTCTACTATCAGTTACATTACACATGCCCTGGCACGTTCCTGAAGCTGCACTGGTGGGTGGTGACTGTGTCAGTCACTGTCCTGGTGCTGGTGCAGCTATCAGGGATAAGCACTTAGCAATTCCTTGCTCCAAACTCCTGTTTTCTGCCCTGTGTTGCCCACCTTCCTCTACACACAAAGGCAGTTAAAAGGAGCAAATCCAAAACGAGGGTTGGGACAGGGATTTGTAGACTGGAGTCCCTCCAGGCTTTATTGTGAGAAACAAATACCATCCTCACATTGACATCAGTGTCCACATTTCATAGAATCACAGAACCCCAGACTGGTTTGGGTTGAAAGGGACCTTAAAGCTCATCCAGTTCCAACCCCTGCCATTGGCAGAAACACCTTCCATGAGAGCAGGTTGCTCCAAAGCCCGTCCAACCTGTTTCCTCTGGTCACATTGCACTGGAGCCCTTTTGTTCAGGACCCTCAGTCCAAGCTCTTTGGTGGAGGATGGAGCAAGATTTGCAGCTGCACTTGACAAACCCCTGTGAGGAAACAGTGATGCTGGGAAGCAGTTTGAGAACCGTGCAGTGGGTTTGCTCCCTCCATTTGTTTTCTGTGTTAAGGCAGGCAGAGCTCAGCACGTCAGAGAGATGCCTGCGCCCGCTGCAGCAACCTGGCCCCATTTGTTTCAATGATGAGGCATTCTGATAAATGCTCTCAATGTGTTCATTTGAATGTGAAATTACCTCAACACCTCCGATCAGCTTGATGGTTGCACATGAGAATAAGCACATGCGCGCAGGGGCGTGTTGCGTTTATTCCTGCTGGAAGGCAGGGTATTCAGTTGTGTTAGCTCTCTTTGGCATGTGTTTTAGAACCAGGAGACATTCTCATCAAGTTTCAGATGAGCCTTTGATGAAAAGCACAGAGAGAATTCCTGAGTTAAAGTTACCTGTTGCAGAACAAACATAGCTGCAGTTAGGGGGAAATGATGTGCGAGAGGAGGAGGAAATTGGTTGTGTTGCAAAGAGGGACAAAGGAAATGGTCCTGGAAGGTCACTGGTGCAGGGGAGAAATTCCCCAAGTCCTGAAGCAGTTTTATCAATGGTTTATTTTAATTTAAATTCCTTGAATGCTTTGGAAAAGCCCCTGAAGTTTGAGTGTGTTTTCAGCTGCCACTAGGGAAGGGAGAGATGGAGCATGAGCATGGTGTGGAAAACTGTGTTTTAATGGAAAGCAGATAAATCTTTGCTTTCACACTGCCTTGACTCTATTCCCTGTGAGGTCAAGTGCTCTGACAGTCTCTGGAAACACACACTCATGCTGGATGCCGGGTACAAAGATATTCTTATTGACATACACGGTGGCTTTGGGTTGTTTGTTTAAGCTTTCTAGTAGGGCAAATAGAAAGGAGTAGATAAATGGGAAGCATTCCTTTTTTTTCCCCTTGAATAAGCTGTTGTTCACCTGGGCAGCTTTGATGGCTGGGTTTGAAGGGAGTTGTGGGGGGGAAGAGCTGCCTTGCATGGCTGCATAGAGCTGGCTGTTAGATCTGCCTTCGTGTTTGACTGGTACTGTGCGAACCCGGTTTGTTCATGTTCAGTGGGGGCTAACAGAGGGAATTGTCTTGCATCGAGTCCCCATTGTATTTCCCCTCCTGTCTAGCTAAATTTTGCCATCACTACGTCCTTGAAAGGAGTTTTCTATTATCCTTTCATTGACTCTCCTCTCCCTCGTGGAAGGAAAGCAATAGCTTAGTGGGAAGTCGCAGTACCAAACTCATAATTACAAGTTCAGCAAAGATCCATAATTGGATGAGATGTAACTTAAATGGAGAGGGATGCGTCGTCAGATACAGTTAATTCTGACAATGATGTTTCGGATCGATTTTGCCACGGTTGCGTGTCGTTGCAGGTGCTGTGAGATAGTTATCAGGTCCAAGGAGAGAGATTCCTTGGGGTTTCTCTCCTCCAATTAGGTTTTTCAGGATTGAGCCTAATTATTGATGCTGTCAAGGCATCGATCCCAGGGAAGTTTCCAGTTAGGGTGGCACCGTAGGTGAGCTGGTTAGTGGGTCAGGGGCTCTGTTTGTCTCTTGACTGCAGGTTTCATAGTACTTTGCCAAGGTATATTAGAGGGACATTCTCATAGGTAAATTTGAGTGAGGGAGAGCTTGTTCTGGTAGCTCAGAATCCCTTAATACTTGGTTTTCAGTGCTGGAATACATGGAAAGATAAATCTGATCCGTCTGGGCACAGAGACAGGGATGGCTGAGGCATTACCTTCTGCGCTCTCAGCACACCCCACCATGCACCTTCCCAGCTTCTAGGTCTGTGGGATCCCCTCACACTGATGTTTCCCTGTCTTTGGAAAGTCTCCAGAGAAGCTGGAGGTGGGGAGAGCAGAAGGAATAACATGGACAAGACATTCCCGTACAGCCTTGGTCTTTCTCTGCTGTGGGGCCTAGCCCCATCGCTGGGATTTGAGCAGGGAGAGGCAATGCTGCTCACCAGTGTCCCTGGGGAGCTGGATCTTTTCAAGAGGTTCTCATACCCATTTCCATCCCTTTGCTTCACCACAGCCCATGCCCACACCAGCTCTCCATCCTCTGTGTTGTGATGGATCAACATGTCCTCCACTTGGATGGCAGTGCTGATGGCAAGGCTGGCATGCAGCCCCAAAGGAGCTGGAATTTGGACCTGATGTCCTACTTTTCCAAGTGGAACAAGTCCTGAGAGAGGCTGCCAGGCCATGCAGAGCTCTGGGCTTGAAGGCTGGAGGGACCTCAGCTATGGACGGGTGGTTTGCTCTTTTCTGCAGATCCTCATACTGACCCCATGAGATTTTAGACCTCATAGCAGCCTTCCAGTATCTGAAGGGGGGCTATAGGGATGCTGGGGAGGGACTCTTCATTAGGGACTGTAGTGATAGGACAAGGGGTAATGGGTTAAAACTTTAGGGGAAGTTTAGATTGGATATAAGGAAGAAGTTCTTTACTGTGAGGATGGTGAGGCACTGGAATGGGTTGCCCAGGGAAGTTGTGAATGCTCCATCCCTGGCAGTGTTCAAGGCCAGGTTGTACAGAGCCTTGGGTGATATGGCTTAGTGTGAGGAGTTCCTTCCCATGGCAGGGGGATTGGAACTGGACAATGATCTTAAGGTCCTTTCCATCCCTAACTATTCCATGATTCTATGATTTTCCAGAACTGGGATTTTTCTGTTTGCAACAGGTGTGTGTGCTCTGGGGCTCTGCTTGCTGTGGGACTGGCTTTCCACTTTCCTGATCCCCTGGGAGAGTCGGGAAGCATGGGAGCCTCCTCACATGTGGCTGTTGGTATCGTCTCCAGGGCTGTCAGTCATTGCACCTTCCGCTAGCACTGAAGTCTCTATGAGAATGTGCCAGCATTGTACAGATGCTAATGCACATCCCCAGCTGCTCATCATGGGCCATACCAACCTTTGATACTTGGCTCCTTTTTTCCCCTGAGCAGCATGCAGTGTGTACAGTCATCATTCTGAGTTTAAGAGGAAACTACTAGTAGTAGCAGAAAGAAGCCCCAAACCAGGGAGGCAGAGCCCCATGCACAAGCCTTGCTTACACAGTGCATTGCTACTGCTCCATCCCCCTTGTTCCAGGGTGGTATTTGCCTCTTGCCCAGCAAAATATATTCAGCTCCACGTCTGACTTTGCAGCCTTGAGCTTCCTGGGTTACATGCAGTGCCTGCTCGATGGCTCTTCAAATACAGAGGAAGATGGGGGTGGATCATAACTCCAAGGTGGTACTGGGCTCCCTGCAGTGATGGGGGCTGCTGCCACCTTGTCAAGGACTCGGGTTTTCTAATGAGCCCCTTGGCTCGCTGGTGGGAGAGGGGAAGTGTGAACAGGCTTCCCCCACCTCCGTCTGCTCTCTCAATCCCTGGAGCTGCTGATCTGTAAGGCAGAAATGTTCGTGCTATTTTAAAGCCCCTTCTAGAGGATCTTTAAGGGCTAAATGAAGAGTAAATCAGCACTGCCTTGGGTCTGCAGGGCTGGGCAGCTTCCAGGGTTAGGGGAAACTAAGGCAGGGAAAGTGATGGTGTTGTATGAAGACCCTGCAAGGCGTTGAGCATCCTGACCCTGTTTGTCTTGGAGACCCAGATTGCCTCTGGCTCCTTCTGTAGCAAGGCGTTTTCTGAGCCCCTGGGACCTGCTGGGGTCCCTGGAGCTGGGGCTGATCTCATATTTCCCATCGGGTATAAAGAGTACCTGAAAATCTGGATGCAAAATAGAGCACTGAGTGCAAGCACAAAGAGATGCTGTTGGTGCTGTGATGGTTGAGATGTGCTGGAGGGTACCCCAGTGCAGGGACCCAACTGGGATCTCCTTGAGCACCCTTAGCTGACTGCTGCTCTTCAACAGGCTCTG